CAATTACAAACTTCCTCAGTAGTAGACAGTCCAATCCTAATATGCATTCGTCTTCAATGTCCGCCAAGTATACTTTCTGTCTGTCCTTTATGCCCATGAGTTCAATAGTTACTCACACTGGTCCCCACAACCTTTGGTAGAATGTCCTGTCACACCATAAAGCTTCTGTATGGCTTCTGGTACTCCTTTGTGATTTAACACCTTGATGCTCACAAGGGTTTGCTGAGACGCAGAGTCTATGACAAAGTTGCACCTTTGGCCATCCAGCTTTCCTGTCACATAGACACTGTGTGTGCTTGGCATTTTACACCTAGCTGTTGGGACTTTCGTGATGGGGGTTGGTGGGCGTCGCTCAACACCAACCACTACTGGTCTCCTTGAGGCTGACCTGTTGGTAATATTCCTCCTACACTGGCTCCTCAAATGTCCGTGCTTTCCACAGTTCCAACAACCTTTCTGGATACCAGCCTTTCCTACTGTGGCACCTCCCCTGTGTTGAAATTTCCAGCATTGAGCTCTCTTGTGCCCAGGTTTGTTATAGTGTCAGCAAAGTCCCTCAAACCTCCTGTACTTTGGCGAATGCTCTAGCATTTACTAGATATAGGGTAGTCTGGTATATACAAGAGGGTGACAACGTGACGGTAAGGTAATGTGTGTGTAGATAGTGAGTAATTGAACTGCAGTCACAAGTATTGTTGACGTTCGTTGATATAGCGTTTGTTTTAGAGCGATTGTTGAAAACAAGTGTATCGTGAAGTTATATTCAGAAAGAATAAACCAGTTTTATTAAGTAAGGACTTGTGTCGCTAAAGTTTCGTCGGAACGAAGTTACGAAAAAATTAATCAACAAACGGAGACGTAACAGTACCAAATCTCACATACTAAAGTACCAAACCTCGAAAAATAAAATAACAAGTCATACCAACTGTATAATGAAATACCAAATCTCATATAATAAAAACATCAAATCTGATTTATTGTAGGGCCGGACTTGGTATAGTGCTTAGCGTTCGAGGCTGTGAATCGGAGGGCCCAAGTTTCGCGTCCCGTTGCCGCAAGCTTATAATCCGAACCCTGAAGTTTTGTTGCGTTATAAGAGTGAAGTTCAAATCCTATTGTTCCATTAGATTAGCATAAGTGTTAGCGATGAGTACTGTTAACTAGCTGTCTTCCCTCTATTCTATCAGTTTGAAATTAGGAACAGTGTAATTTGCGCAAATATTCGAAACAAATAAGGAAACATGTCTTATATACTAAATACATATTCTCATATACTAAAGTACCAATTCTCATATACTAAAGTACCAAACTTTTTTCAAGGGAGATTTGAAATCTATTCTGAGGCAAGCATAAAGCTCATCGTTATTGTTCTAGTATCACCTGTCCTGGTATCACAATTAATAGTAGTTTTTGTGTTTGTAGTTCCATTAATTTTATTGTCATATGATGAAGTAACATTATTTTCTTCTTTATCAAAAACTGTATATCATTCATTTTTATTATTTTCTCTTACATAAGCATGTTCATAATTCTCAGCCTAGTCTTTAGAAGTTTTAAGTTATGTGTTCGATGATTAAAATATTCGATAGTTCTTATCTTTTCCGAAGAACACATTATTTTTTGATGATTTAATTTTATTGTATCTTACTTTCCTTAATTTCTGTGTGAATATCTGTTGTCGGCTTCTTTTTATGTTTTGTTGTTTCACATTAGACTGAGGTCGAAGATTTATTTAACCTTGATAAAAGAAAGTACTAGAATTATCATTACTTAACGAATTACATATTTTAATATATATCTGTATATTTAAAAAAAAAACAGAAGTTGATTATTCTGTCCAAAAAACATCATGTAAGATATTTCCATGGGGTAAGTGAGGGTCATAGTAGGTGTTTAAGAATTTAATTATCATAGATGACACCTAAACTACGACGTATAGACTTCAGTATTATATTATTTTAAACTTATTTAACAGCGCATATATATATATATGATGTTTCTTCGCTTACCGTTATGTTTGCACTAAACGCTGTATTTCTGTAGGCAAATCGTCTTCTTAAAGGAGCATTTCGGTTTCGCCTTTGTTGAGACTGATCATGCTTATTCATAAACAAGCGCCAGCAGATGACGAACACCCAAAATAAAAGGTTTAAAACCAAGATGACAATCAAAACGCTGTGGGAATAAAAACAAAAGCAAATGTATTTTCATTAGTTAACCATCACAACATTTTGATTTTGTGTTTTTTTTTACATCTACAATAAAGGAATATCTCAACAATCTTGTATTAAGAATAGTTGGAACATCTACAAATGTTAATTGAAGGGTAATTAGATTCAACAATACATTGTATATATCCACATTCTGTCTTGTTCTATTTATATTTACAAACAACAGCCTGATTAAAAGAAGTGTGTCAGTAAAAAGGTTGTTTATATAAGACATATATTTATATGAGGTCTTATAACGCTAAAATTAGGTTTCGATACACACAGTAGGCAGGTTAAAAATAACTTGGCGCTTAACAGGAAAAAAACAAACAAATATACTTTGCTAGAGCTTAGAAGCTAGAAGCCTGGCAGAAAACATATTTATGGTATTTATAAACATATAACATTAGAAATATTTTGTATATAACTCAATTATATTATAGTAAATCATATTAGACTTACATTTGATAGCTTTGTAACGATCCGCTAGTCATTCTTCAAAAATTAAGGACTGAGAGAGAAGTCGCTACATTCAGTCCCCACTAAAACAACTAAAGAGCCGTTGCTGTTAAAAGACAGTTACTCGTACATAAATTGCTATAGCTTCAAGACTTACGATAATTCAAACACTTTTTGTTTAATTAATGTGAGACATTTATCGTTAGTTTCCTACTGATTCAAGAGTGACAGGTTCGAAGAACAATGGCTTATCGAAACACAATGCCCGATTTCACGACGTTTAAACGCCTAGTATATATTATCGTTTGGACTTTACTCCCTTGAACTTGATAATATATATATACGTCTGTAGTGTATAAATTTGAAATATATTTTCAGGAAAAGTTACTTACATAGTTTAAAGTTATGTTCTTGCACTATTTGTTTTATATGTTTCGCTAATTTTTAGTTCGGATAAAAATATAAGCAGATTTGGAGGTCTTTCTGTTGAATTTTTTCAGCATCATTATCAGGTTGATACTTCATAGCCGATGTTCTCTTATCAGTGCATAAACTGGTACTCCGTAGTACAACAGCTCTGCTGCGTTTCATTCGACTTTGAGACTGAAAATTTGTTCTTTGTGTTGTGATTGCGTACACAATTAACAATTTATTTGAATAACTCGGTAAAAAAAATACATAGAGTTTTCACCTGAATGCATAATAACTTTATGTTATTTTTTTATTTATAAACGACAGTTTCAGGTTGTGGATTATATTGAAATTTTTTTACACCTTTACTGTATTTTTGTTGTAGATTTGTTTGTTTTAGAGCAAAGCGACATTGGGCTATCTGCTATGTCCACGGCGGATAATCGAACCCCGGAATGTAACATTGTAAGTCCATTTTGCGGTAGGAAGAAGGATAGTCAATTCTAAGATATTTTTTAAAGTTTGTATTGTTACGTCTCTAGTCGTTAGTTAATTTTCCGTAAAAAAATTCTTTCCGAAGAAACTTTATCGATACAAG